AAGCATCCAGGGTAGGTTGGAAAGAAAGAGATGATCACATCCACCATCCACTGCTGAGTTAGGTTCCACCCCTCAGGTCCCAGACCAGCTAGGGTGGGAATTCCCAGCAGCCTTCCTGCTCTGTCTAGGATTGGTTTTGCTGGTGGCCTAAAAGTTCTTTGCTTGCAGGTTCTTGCTGACACAGGGACTGGCTATAAAGGCAGTCCAAACAATTGGTAACTCTACCAACATTTAAAATGCACAGGCCTGTGACCCTAAGTTTCCACTTATTGGGCTCCATACTGTAGAAACTCTAGCACAAGTCCACATTGTTTATATCCAAACTAGATATAGAAACTTGCAAAATATACTCCAGAACAGTAGTACTAGGAGATAATATGTAACAATTTAAATAGGATGAGGAATTCTTTGCAAGAAGCTAGACACAAAATAGAATATACTATTCCAGATACAGCTCTGGATCCCATTAATCCAGTGTTTTTTTCCTGGTGCTGATGGTTGAGATCATTGCTAACCAGGGGCTCTAACCAGAAGCAGAGAACTCTAAAAAAGGAAACCATAGGATTCCATTTATTTGAAGTTAAAGAACAAGCACAATGAATCTATGGTGAAAACAGCCAGAATATTATCTTTGGTGGGGCCACTGACTGGGAAGCATGTGTGGTCTGTGAGAACATGAGCCTGCCCCTTCTCAAGCTCCAATTCCCTCTCCCACCCTGTGGGAATATGATGAAGACCATCAGTAAGCAAACTAGAACAGACCTTGGGAGCCTGGCCAGCTCCTCAGTCAAGAAACTGCCAAAGAGAAACTGCTTCTACGGTAGATGAGCCTGGGCTGTGAACAACTGTAGAGAATCAGCTAGCGTTCAGATCTCCCACAGCTGTGTGCGAGCCTGGGCCCCTGTGCAGTTTGTCTTGTTTCCTACACTCACTGCGAACCCTGTGCTGCAGAGACTCAGGGCACCGCCAGTAGTAAACCTGTGTCTTTCACAGCTAGGCCTCCGCGTTATTTCTTTGAAATCCACACATAATACCCTATCAGATTTTCTCAGACCTTGGCTCTTTCCATAACAAAGGGGTTCTGAGGAAGTTTCAGGATTCTAAAAGTGTTTTGTATCTTGACCTGGATGATGGTTGCATGGGTAGAGATACTTGTGTGAAAATTCATGGGGCTATACACTGAGGACTAGTGTCTTTTAAACACTAGATATATGTTACACCTTGTTTAAAAAGTAAAGAAGCAGAAGGACTGACTTTGGTAAAGAAAAAACAACAACAAAATGTTGCAGAATAATATGTCTGACTTCATTTTTGTAAATGTGTAACCTGGGGAAAAGTCTGGAAGGACAGCAAATCCTTAATAATGCTTCCCTCTGAGTGGGGGACGGAAGTGAAGGCGAGCATTTTATACATTTCTCTTTTGTTTGCATTTGGATCTGCTGCTCCCCACCCTCATCCATTATGCCTCCTCACTTCATGTCAGCCTCCAGCTTCTCTGTGGGTTTCCTGCCCTTGGAGGTTTGGGGTTTGGCTAGTTGGGGCAAACTTTGGCTCCATATCTTAGTTTAATACTTGGGCTTTGCAACAGGATATGCTGACATTGCCCCACTCAGAGCTTGGGAAGGGGCAGGCTCATGTTCTCACATACCTGCTCATTGGCCCACAAGGATCAGCATCCTACTCAACAACTGCCTTCTGGGATGAGCAACGTCACAGGCCTGTCCCTGAACAGAGCCCTTGGAAGGCACCATTAATGCCTATGAACAGAAGCAGAGCATTCTGGAGGAAAGAGGCAGAGAGAGAAAGACAGGGTGATTCAAGGCCCCTGGCCATGCTGATTTCACTTCCACCAGTCTCGTCCCTCGGAGTGGTCAGATATACTAATTGGTCTTCACAGCCTTGGTTACAAATGGTCCTGGAGTTGAATTCCAGCCACAACTCAAGCCAGGCAAATGAACCCTTGCTCTGTCCCCTTTTTAATATGGATGTGACACCTGCAGGCTACAGCTTGACGCACTGTGAGAATTATTTCTCCATTAAAATGCAAGAGGTGGAGCTTTGCCCAGAAAGGGCAGCTAAAAATAGTGCTGTCTGGGTACTTGTCACAGAGAACTTAGTGGCCATCTTCCTCAGCCCCTCTTCCCCCCAGGCAAGTCTGTTACCTGCTAGGTCACTCCTAGAAGCACTTAATATAGTGTCATCTCTAAGCTTTAACCGCACTGTTAGGAAGGAAAAGCACTGGTAATCATACCTGTTTTACATATGGACAAACTGATCCAGTCAGTTTGTTCTGGGCCACAAAATCACCTAGGGAGCAGCAGTGTGCAACCTTGACTGCAGGAGAGGAAACCTAAGCCCTCCTATGTGCCCAGTACTTTATAGTTTGCAGTGTCTCCTTACTCACTGCCTGTTGAGCCCTCATAACAATCTTATGAAATGAACTACTGTCATCCCACCTTATAGATGGGGTTGAAGCCCCGTAATATGAGCAAACCCAAGGTGGTAGAAGGGGGAAGCAAAGGCAGAGACTCTCATGGACCTTTTGGTTCTAAACCAGTGGTGGGACTTCAAGCAAGGTGACCCTATCATTCCCAGGACCACCTAGTTTATAACAAGTGCTCCAGTTAGCAAGAATGTCACATCCTTTTCAGAACAGAACTCATCCCCCCTACTTTTCATCCCCCCTACTTTTCATCCCCCCTACTTAATAGATAAGAAAATTAAGGTTCAGAAGTATGAAGGACTTGGTCACAGGTGAGTAGCAGAGCCAGGACCAAATTCAAGTGTCCTGACCCTCTGCTCTGGCTCCTGCTGCCGCCCCAAGGCCTGTGGAGTTCTGGGACCAACGGGCTAGTGCTGAGACTCAGTGCTTCAGGGGAAAGGAGCATTGTGCATTCTTCAATCTCCTACAGCCGGAACCTGGTAATCTGGATGCGTTTGCCTGCCATGCTCACCCCTCCTTCTCAGTCTTTGGAGGTGGAAAGAGGTGAAAACCTCAGGCCTACTTTTTCATATAAGAAAAGAAGGCCCAAGAAAACTAACACCTTGCCCCGGGCTCAGGCCCACTGAGTCATGTTGCTCAGTGGTTGAGTGTCGACCCATGAAACAAGAAGTCACTGATTCCATTCCCTTGTTAGGGCAGGTTTTGGGCTCAATCCCCAGTGAAGGGTGTGTAGGAGACAGTCGATCAATATCTCTCTCTCTCTCATTGATGTTTCTATCTCTCCCTCTCCCTTTCTCTCCCAAAACCAATAATAATAATACAATTTTATTTAAAAGAATAGCACTCAGAACTCCTTTCCCAGTGCCAGCTTCTCACTAGGTCTCAGCTTTCCTATCTGCAAAATAGGGTATTAGCAGAAGCCCTAAACAAACCTGGGGTCAGAGTCTTCTTTAGGGGGTGTTTTAGAAATGAGTGGAGCCCCATAGAGTAACCAAAGGGCCTGACTTTTTACACCGCCAACTTCACTTCGCCAAGAGGGAAACTGAGGCCAGGGAGGGGCAATATGGCTCCCAAGACCGAGTGCTGTAAGGATGGTGAAAGGAGGCCCAGCTGTGATGTCCAGGTAGGAATCCTTCCTGTTGAGTCCTGACCCGGCCCTATTTCATTCACTTCACAGAGAAAAAGCTTTCTACAAAGGCATTTATTTTCCTCCAAGTACCTCCCCCCACTTCCCAGTTAATGTAATTCCTGAGAGTCCCACATTTAAATTACAAATTGCCATGTCTTCCACTGCTGGCAAACGGAGCTATGTCAGTGGGAGGACATCAGAAGTTCATTTTACCAGAGGCTGGGGGCTGGCCAAAGAGAGGCCAAGAAATAGCACCAGAACAGCACCATGGTAGCGGGAAGGGTGGAGGGGCTGTACCCCTGGCTGAGGCCTTGGGCGTCCTCCTTGCTGGGTTCTTGGGGTCTGTTTGGTCTTGCCCGACTGCCCACTGCTCACCCTGAAAAGACACTTTGGGAACCATTAGCTTCTCACCAGTTGGAGTGAGAGATTTCATCCCTCTCTCCAGGTTTCTACCCACTCCCGCCACTCTGCTAAGAACCAGGGATGGGTTGGGGTGAGGTACCTAGGTAGCTGGGGGCACAGTAAAGGGGTATAGCAGAGAGCAAAGCAGGAGCCCCTCTCATGATCTGCTATTTCCTCACAGGGTTGCAGCTGAGGGGCAAGTCCTTGAAGAAGCAGCTTGTCTTCTCAGGGAGGTTCCCCACACCTAACACAGTACCAACCCCCAAGGTGCTTGGTGAACATTACTTGAATGAATAAGCAAAAGGCAGAAAAGCAGAGAACAGAAGCTGATCCCCAGAACCCAGTGTGACAAGCACACACTTCCCGCGGGCATGGTGGGCAGAGGGGGGCTCACAGGGCACAGACCAAGGCACCGTGGAAGAGACCCGCCCACGAGAAAAGTGCACCTGTGCCTCTGCATGCCTGGGAGGGGACATTTGCTCACTTAGTGGAGGAGGGAAAGGCCAGCTTTGGGGCCAGCGTGGGAGAAAGCAAGAGGAGACACCGCTAGACACCGCTAGGCAATACTGGGCTACATTGCCCCTTCTGAGGATATGGATTACAGGCAGGTGGGAGGAAGTCTTGAGTAGTGAGAGCTAGTGTATCAGGGCCACTGGAAAAACTAGGCGAGAAGTGACTTTATATCAAGTCTTTGGAGAAACAAGTCAGAAGGTCAGTCTGAATGTTGTAAGCTCTAGAGAAAAAATGCAGCCAGATGGTCCATGTAGTGTACCCACTGGAGAAGCAAGTTGGTGGGGTCTGTGTCCATAAGAAATAAGGCAGCAGGATGACTTGGGAGTCATGTCCAATGGAGAAATGAGACTGTAAGTGGTCTTGTATCAGATCCTTTGCAGAATGAGTAGATTCACCAGGATGGGAGCCATCTGTTGGGGGCAGGGAAGACCCAGCCCAGGGCTCACACAGAGACTCTAGTGCAAGCAAAGAGTTGAGCCCAAGGCAAGGGCAGCAGCTTCCTGATCCTTGTGGTCAGGCTATTTCTGGTCCATCACCTGAATTTCATGATGGGAAGAAAAAAAAAAGGGGGGAGCATTAAGTATCTGAGTTCTACTCTTGGGAGAGTGCCAGAAGCCCAGTATACATGGTCATATTCTTCAGTGTGGGCAGTGTGTATGGAAGTGGCCACAGAGGTCCAGCTAGCAGTAGTCCCCAGCACTAGTACTGTCCCACGGCCCCAAAAATCACAAACACCAGAGTTAGGCATCAGACAGACCACCAGGGCGCCTGAGGGAGATTGCTTAGTCCTCACCAATCCTCATGGGTCCACTCAACTCAAACACTTCCCTCCCACTTGCCCCTCTGCCTGGCACACTTTTCCCTTCCCATCGCCTCTGTCGGCTAGCAGGAAACCCTTTCCATCTTTTCTTTCCCACACCAATTTCCCTAGCAGTCATGCTGTGGGAAACCTTTTTCTCCCTGGCTTCTTGTCTACATGTAGAGGGAACCTCATGGATTCATAGTCCTGGCCTCACTCTACTCCTGGCCTGAATGGAGAGTTTAGAAGGAAGACAGGGACATGTGTGACCCACCCTCTCTCTCCTATTCTTTGGCAGTCTGTCTGTTTGTCTGGGAAAATAGCTCTCCTCCTGTGGACTGCCCCTGTGCTTGCCCAGCAAGTCCAGAGCCTGGGACCCAGAGGAAAGCTAAATGCAGGGATGAGCACCCAGGAATTCCTAACAGGGACACCAAGGTGACTTGAAAAAACTCTAAGGCTCCATACCTTTGGCAATCAGCCTTGATTTTCTAGGTGGATGTCACTCAGATCTGTGATAGGCAGTTAGAGAGACATGCACAGAGCAAGGACAATAGGCCAGGTACAGAAGGTCACCAGGGTGGTGCCTAGTGAGAGGGCAGGGTGGGGCAAGGATGGGCTCCTGACTCCACTGTGGGGAAGGGCCGAGTTATCCTCCATTCTATAATTGAACCCTAGCCCTCACCCAACCAATCAGGGTTAGCTGAGGCAGTGACATCACCACCGATGGGAGTAAAACCCCTGGACTGGGCAAAATTCGCTCTCTCTTCCGCCATGCTGCTGGCATGAGTGGGACAGAGCCCATGCTAGCGTTGAAAAGGCTCTTTTGTTTATTGCATTGGACTCAGCTCCCAGGTGGTCCTTGGGGATCAAGAAGTATGGGCGTAACATATGGGGGAATTCGTCCGGGATCCCCAGCCAGGACCATGAGGGACCCCGATCTGGAGAGTCTGACTGGCCGCAGTAGGTGTGTGTGTGTGTGTGTCTGTGTCCTTGTGTACGTGCTCTGGATGGACGTAAAACCCCTCATGGAATTGGTGCCCGAATACGCCTGGAGGACGCACCATGAAGGCCACTGGCAGAAGGTCAGAAGATGTTCTGACCTCCTGGGAGGGCCCTAGAGGGACCCTCATGTGGGGAGAGGAATGGAAGCCTCTCCCAGGACGAGATGAGCCGTTGCCTCACCTGCGGAAAGTGGGCCTTTCCCAGGTCTGAGTTTGGTATCTGCGGGTGACATGGCGCCCCAGGATGGAGCCGGCGAAGTGTGGCCGGCGTGGCAGTGCGGGGGCCCCTGGCAGCGTTGGGTTGGAGGGAGGGCTCCCTTGGGGCTCAGTCTGCGCGTTGGAGCACGGCTGGACAGTGGTGGCCTCGCTCGGGGAGCAGGCACCTGCGTTAATTTGCTGGCTGCCTGGAGAAGGGGAGGTGGAGCTGGGAAGTTGCTGGGGCGACCCGCACTTCCTCCTCTAGGGGCCGCCTGAGTAGCATGGCTGGGGCGGCTGCAGCCTCGCTCGGGGGCCTGGGCCCAGGGGGGGTGGGGTGGGGAAGGGGGGGTGGGGAGGGGGGGGGCTGGGCCAGCGTGGAGGCCTCGGGTACGGGAGAAGAGCTCAAGGGTGAATCTCTGAGCTCAGTAAAGGGAAAAGGCCAGTTCAAAACGAGTGCACATAGTTTTGGGCTGTGCTTAAAACTTTTCTGTATACAGAATAAGTTTTAAAAATAGTGGAGATTAACTGGGAGATACCGTATTTTCCTGTGTATAAGACGATCCCCTAATTTTACAGTTAAAACATAGGTTTAGGCCTATATTCGCTGTATAGGACTACCCCCCACTTCAAAGAAAAGACTTCTTTGCCGGCAAGATCTGCAGGTAATTTTTGTGCAATTTTGGTCTTTTGCCCCCAATTTTCGGTTGACTTTTTTCGTTTTAAAAGTCATCTTATATGTGGAAAATACGGTAAATTAAAACTGGTTTCCCAAGTCATTGTAAGCAGCTTTTGAAATTCTCTGCAGTGAGGCGGAAATTAGATGGTAATGGCTGGGAGTCTTCAGTTAAAGAATGTGTTCATTTGCATTTGAATGCTACTCCAGGGATCTGCAGGGAGTGAGAGGTGATTCCCTGGTGAGGCTGCCCAGATGGCCTTGCTTACAATGTTTAGTCTTCCTTGTCATTGGTATCAGTTAAGCAGAGTCATATAGCTACTTAAGTATGAATTGTGATTGACCTATGAACAAAATTCATTTTTTCTGACATTGTCTTAAATCTTAGTAAACTGCCTCTGGTGCGGAGAGATCTAGGGGAGGCCAGAGAGCACAAGACTATTAGCTCTCCTGCAAAGAGATTATTCAGTGCTTTGTTTGAACTTCAGAAAAAATTTTGAGATCTGAAAAAATGTGTGACCAGATCTGTTGCTGAAACTTTACCCTAAGTAAGCAGGATGTATTAGAAATGTAATGTTATTAATCTAAAAAATGCCAAATATATTTGACTTGCCAGCTTTAAAAGTTCAAAGTATAAATTGAATTAGGAAAAGTTAATTGCAGTAACTAAATGCCTAGAATATGGCAGGCTAAACTGTATTACATGTGTTAAGAATAAGCAGTAATGATCAAAGATTTCAAGGATTGATTTATTCTCATTTGTCAGATGAGGAATCTATATGATGCTTGAGCCCTATCCAGGTTGTTTCATACAGACCTAAGTAAATTTGTTGGGAATTTATAGTGTGCCTCTTGTGAAGAAGTAGGCCAAGTCATATATTTTTCTCTTAATGTAGAAAAAGTGATAGCCATATTAATTTGTTTTGTTTTGCTTTTCTCATACGCCATTGTTGTTGAATTTGGGCTTGTACCTGCATCTTGTATTTGTACATTCGGTTGTTTAAACTTTGGGAATCATTTTTGGTTTCAGTCATGTGTGTCTACTTTATAGATTTAAATAGGCTTCATCACAAAGGTTTATAATTTACTTAGAATTGTGTTAAAACAATGTGAAAACAATTATTTGTATGATTTAACCCCCTGCGACTGCTTGGACAGTTTTCACCGATGTTCTGCGGGGGGGGGGGGGGGGGGCGGGAGTAGAGGGGGCTTAGAAATGCACATAAATCTATATCTGTAGGAAAAATGTGGCATTTTAAATTTCAAGCAGTTAGAAGCCTGGGAACAGGTACTAGACCTGCTCCCTCCTCCCTTGCCTTTTCTTTAAAATTTGAGGCATGGTTATGTATTTTTGGAAGATAAGATTTTTATAAAAGTTATAAAGAGAATGTCCTGACAAGTTAGCTAGGAGAGGCAAGCCTGTTAGTTTCCTGATGGGCATTGGGGCAGCCTATTTAGTCTTGAGAGAGCCGATAGGACCCGTACATCAGCCCAGGAAGCCACCAGACAAACTGCCTGTTTTCCTTGGACATCAAGAAGGACTGTGGTCCTCGGAAGGAACACATATTGGGGGAATGCAGCTGTTGAACTGGTCCCAAGTGGAACAACGGGTCTTTGAGGAGCTAAAGAAGGCTCTCGTCTCAGCAGCTGCCGTAGCCTTGCCAGACGTCGCGAAGCCCTTCTACCTCTACGTGAGTGAGGTAAGAGGCTTTGCCAAAGAGGTTCTCACTCAGACTCTAGGTCTCTGGAAGAGACATGTTGCCTATCTGTCTAAGAGACTGGACCCTGTGGTAGCAGGGTGGCCAGCGTGCTTCCAGGCAGTGGCCACTATAGCATTGCTGGTGAAGGAGGCAGATAAGCAGACTCTGGGCCAGGAGCTAAGCTTTTCTCCTGGACCAGCCCTGTGTCTGGATTCATAAGACTCTGGCCATCAACCCTGCCAGCCTGCTTCCAGATGATAATGGAGGAACCCATTCATGACTGCACAGAGATAACAGGCGACAAGGTACTGTTCACGGATGGGAGCAGTTACGTTCAGGATGGAACCTGATATGCAGGGGCAGTGGTAGTCACCCTGGACCACACCATTTGGGCACAGCTCCAGAACTTTTGGCCTTAATCCAGGCCCTTTGATGGAGACACTGTGCCATCCACAGGGAAAAGAGGGTTATCAACTGCAGCCAGAAGGAATTGGCCCCTGACAGACCAGATGATTGGTGGATCCTCCAGATGACAAGACTGTTGGTCCCAGAGGCTCTAGGTCAGAGTGTCCGGTGACACCAGGTTACCCACTTAAGTGTCACCAAGACTTCTTAACTTCTGTGAGGCAGAGTTGCTAAAAGTACTGTCTGTGCACAGGTAAATGCCAAGCAAGGTAAGGGGGTCCCCCTGGGAATTCGGGTCCCAGGGAACTTCCCCAGGAGAGCATTGGTAGGTGATTTCAGAGATTAAGCCACCAGCATTAAGGTCTAGTTTTTGTAGACACTTCAGATTAGGTTTAAGTATACCCCACTAGAATGGAAACTACCTCTATAGTGGTCAGGAGATTACTTCAGGAGATTATACCTAGATTCGGGCTGCCAGTATCAGATAACAGCTCCACCTTTGTAGCCAAGGTATCTCAAAGTATAGCTCTAGCCTTAGGACAGATAAGAGAGACTCTGGAAAAGGGGTTTAACTAAATGTGTCCTAGAATCGGTGAAAATTGGACCAACCCCCTGTCCTTTGCCCTCTTAAGGGCCAGGTGTACCCCTTACTGAGACGAGTTTCTCCTTTTTTGGGAGGGGATCATGTATGGTAACCATTCCCTTGCTCAAGTCCTTACAGGTTCTGCAGTTTGCTTGTTCCAGATGCACTGCCAGTGCCCACCGCAGACCCTGTAGCCCAGGAACTCAATGTGGGTAAAGAAATTCACTGCCCAAGGACTCAAAGGGACGCTGCACTGTTATCCTGAGCACGCCCACTGCTGTTGAAGTAGATGGCACCCAGACCTGACTACATGACTCCCAGCTCCTGCATGGCCTGGATCCTGGCAACTACAGGCCACGAGGAGAACTGATGCCTGCAGGAGGGGAACGGGACTTCAGTGAGGACAATACTGATGGGAACTGTGGTACTAAGGGTCTTGGTAACTGTATTTGTTGTTTATGCTGAAAGGAAGTAGGCTGAGTCAATGATTTGACTCAGGCACAGACAAGGAGGGAATGAGAGGGCAGGGTGGGGCAAGGATGGGCTCCTGACTCCATTGTGGGGCAGGGCCGAGTTATCCTCCATTCTGTAATTGAACCCTAGCCCTCACCCAACCAATCAGGGTTAGCCGAGGCAGTGACATCACCACCGACGGGAGTAAAACCCCTGGACTGGGCGAAATTCACTCTCTTTTCCACCATACTGCTGGCGTGAGTGGGACAGAGCCAGCAGTATGGAAATGCTAGCATGGAAAAGGCTCTTTTGTTTATTGCATCGGACTGGGCTCCCTGGTGGTGCTTGGGGATCACGAAGTCTGGGTGTAACACCTAGCAAAGGACAATTGTAGAGTAAGACCTTGCCCCAGGGTGATCTCTCCTCCCCTAGCATATAGCTGGTTATAGGGTTTGGGCCCCCTAACCTTTCCTCCCTAGAGATAACATCTAGGCCTCAGCTGGATTTCAGTTCAAGGCCCAGATAAGCAACAAAACCAGCCTTGGCCCACCTTAGGAACAGCTGCATTGGATAATGACCCGCTGCCCTGACCACCAATCAATCAGTGGAGACCTAGACCCTGAAAGGACACCTAGAAAGCTGCTGAACATTCTATCGAGATTTTCCCCTGGGACCTCCCCTAAACTCTCCACCCTTAAAACCCTTAGGACAGAGGATCCAGTGCATTCTCTCTTCTGGGAACATGCTCTTGCCTTTCTCTGCTCCTTCCCCTTTTTTTCTCCCCTTCCTGCACCAGGCACTTTACCATTTGCTTCCTCACTCCCAAGCTCCCAGGGCCCTTCGTTTACCTCTATAACTTGTTTTCTAGGTGCATTTCTTCTATAATGACTTTTTTACTTCTATGATTTACTAAATAAATGTTCCCTTACCTTTGGGTCTTGGCTCTGAATTCTTTCCTAGCCAGAACCCAAGTATCAAGGTTGCTGAACCCAGGTTTGGTCTGACCCTACCCTTCAGAGGGTGGAGTAACCAAGGTCCCAGCAGCTCTACTAGGGGGTTTGAGGGGAGTGGAGGCTGCTCTCTAGAGAGCAGGTCACCACCAAGAAGTGCAATCACTTCCCCTTAACCCTCCATGCCTCCTACACACAGGTACACAGACACACACAATCTCAAGCACCACATGTCATTACCTTCTTTGTTTTCAGAGTGCTTTAGAGGCCTCAGGACTGCAAAAAATGAAGAAGCACATAGTTAGGAGGAACTGTGGAAAGTTGTGTTGTAGAGGGTGGTATGGAGAGATAGAAGAACTCGAAGGAGGCAGGAGAGTGGGGGCAACATCAGCACCAAGGAAGGGGGCCTAGGCTGCTCTCCCAAGGCATAGCTCCACTCTGTGGCTTGTTATTCCCATCTCTAGGCCTCAGTAGTTTTCTGCATCAGTAGAATGAGAACTACCTGGCCTCTTGAGCTAGAGATGTGGTATCTACTCCACAAACATAGTGAAGTAAGGAGCCAGAGAGGTTGCAGATTGTCCCCAGATATCCCCAGAACTGTGTGGAACAGACACTGACCAAATTTCTAAGCTACCAGCTCCTGCCCTCTCTTCTTTCAACTCCATCTGCCTCTGAGCATGAAAAAAGGAGGCCTGATCCCAGAGCCGTCTCCACACACAGACACCAAAGACAGATAATTAATTGGCATAATTTATAGCAGTCCCAGGTGTCAATTTCTTGCCCTTCGTTCTGTGCGTGTGGGGAGAGAACTGGCATCATCCCAAATGGCTCAGCAGGAACCTGTCTCTCCCAGCCCAAGAGCCAGAAGGCAATGAGGGCACCATGGCCATGGGATACCAGCACCTTGGCATCCACCCCAAGCTGGGCTCCCAGTTTGTGTCCCCACAGCACTAGGACCTTCAAAAACCTATCTTTCTAGTAACCTATCTGCCTAGTAACAGGACTCCAAGGTATTGAGCACTTCCTAGGTACCAGGTATGATAGTAGGCCATTTATAAACATTACCTCATCTAATCAAACCCACACACCCAATGAAGGGAGGCAGTTCTTAGGAGAAAGCTGAGACTCAAAAACGAGGAGTTCAAGGCCCAGAGAAGCAAAGCTCAAGGTCACTTATCTTATATGAGCAGAAGCTGGAACTGAAAATCAGGCTGCCCTCTTCCTCTCCCTTAGGAATCCACCAAACTCCACAATGCAGAGTACCTAAGGGTGGAACTGGCTGGCAGATGGGTAAAGGTAGGTAGGTGAGGTGAAGCAGCATCTGAGAAGGAATCAGGGAAGAGCCACCTCCAAGCCTAATGCTGAGCAGAGACCAGACTCACCTGGGTGGTGAGGCCACAGGACACGCTTCATTCAACCTCAAGCAAATATGGCTCCTCCAGGTCCTGAAAACCTCTCCTTGTCCCTGTGTCCTTTCCTCAGCTAATAAGGCTATATAAGCTTAGACTTACCAGTCTTAGATCCTTCTCCATCTCCATCCTGGTCCTCAGCTCCTGGAAGAGCAAACAAAAACTTTCTCAGCCCCATTTCCATTATTGCACTTCCCCACATGGGGGTGCAGGAGGCAGGTAAATGGAAAGTAGGCCTGACCGTAGTCAAGTATTAGATATAGAGTCATAACTTGAGAGCAAGTATCACAGAGCAGAGCCCCGGGGCAGGATAAAGGGCTCCCAGCCACTCTTCTAGCCAAGGACCAACTACTCACCTTCACCAATTCACTAAACCCATCATCTACCTGTCCATTCACTTACCAATCCGGTTAACCACCACCCAACAACATGCATACTCACCCATCTATTGGTCCACTCACCCTTCACCAGCCCACCCAGGCACTGCTGCACAATCATCAGTTATCTGTCAACTGACCAGCCCTTCCCCATTCACATATTCACTGTCCTTCCTGACACCAAGTCAACTTTATCTCTCACCATTACTTTCATGTTTACCCAAGAAAACCTCTGTTAACCTCTCTACCACCCACCAGGGTCAATTCACCCGCTCATCCATGTCCACTCCCTCACCCACCACTCACTAGAATCAATTTACCTACTAAGATCAAGCTACCCATCTTCTGAGATCAACTCACCACCTGCCAGTCACCAAAATCAGCTTAGACAGATTCTACCCCAGCAAATGTCAGAGGATCCAGGCTCTGGCCCCTCTGAGGCAGATACACCTTCACATAATGACCCCAAACCCATGAAACATTTACACTTATATTAAATTTCTAAACCTGTGCTCTTACTCACAGATACACTCATGGAACTAACTAGTATTCTCACAGACACATTCATCACCTCCTCACACTTCAGTCACACTCATATACATATTCACCTCCTCACTACTCGCTTCCAGTCACACTCATATACATATTTAACCTGCCATACTTGCACACTCACAGGTAGACTCAACTTGTTCACACACACAAGACATATTCAGCCCCAAGGTCATACACACACAATCTAGCCCCACTGGTACACCCACATTCATTCTGTCAGGGGAAAGTAATATTTGATGTCACAGGCACACCAACATGCCCAAAGATATGAGCTCGCACATCCACACATCCCTCTCACCTGCATTCTCCTCTTCACAGCTCTGTTTGATCTTTCTCCAGCACACGAAGGCCAGGGCCACCAGCAGTGCAACAAGACAGACAGAGAGTCCCACGGTCACCCACAGGGCCTCAGGGGGGAATGTCATGGGCTGTCCTGAGAGGGACAGTGGGGAGAAATCATCATCTCTAGCCCCCATAGCCATGAAGACAGTACCCTCTGGCTCCAAGGTGAATGGGGGGCTCCCACCCTCTCTGGGCCCCAACACTATGCACATACCCTTTCCTTGCTCATCCATACATCCTCCAAACCCTGACAGACCATGGCTGGTAAGAACATGCTTCAACCTGGTAAGGTTGAAGAGTCTTCAGTTGATGATGCTCAAGAACTTTCTATGGCTCCCTGCAGATCTGAGAATAATGCTTCAATTTTTTTTTATTTTTTTTTTACAAGATTCGAGGACCTAAATAATCTAGCTGCCAGTTAACTCCCCCTCTCCCTCCTTTGTATCTAATTCCACTGTAGGAACCTCTGCGGCAGCCAAACTGGTGTCCTGGCCCTTCTCTGCAGAGACAACTGGCTCCTTCCTGCCACCATACATTACTGTCAGTTTCCCTGACCTAAAAAAATGCTCCTAAGCTCTCCACCTACCTTAAGTCCACCTCTTTAGGAGGCCTTCCCTGACTACCCCAGCCCCACCTGGTGTCATTCCCCACCCTACAAATCAGGAGTCAGCAAACTAAGGCCTGTCAGTTAAATCTGGCCTGTAACCTGTGTTTGTATAGCCCGTGAGATAATTTTTGTAAAGGGTTGCCAAGAAATGGAAAGGGAAGAACAGAAGGAAGTAGGAAAACAGCAACAGTAAAAGATGGTGTGTGGTCCATAAAGCCTAAAGTATTTATTACCCAGCTTTTTACGGAAAGTGTCTTCAGATCCTACATGTCAATGAGGATGGGCTCTGAGGGCACTAGAATGAGGAGCTTGCCATGGGTGTCTTTCTGCGAAATGCTGAGGGCCCTTCTGTGAACTCTCTCACAACAGATGGAGGAAATGAAGTGCCCACATCTGGGTCAGGGCCAGCAGTTGTTCTGAGCATGCTATCCTCCAGCCCAGTCCCAAGATTCCTGCTGGCTCCAGGGTAGAAGGCTTGGGGACAACAAATCTAACCAAAGACAGTGCTGCCTTCCTGTGCTCTCTGGAAAACACAAGCACCTCAGGCATTAGCAGCCTGGGGCTCAATGGCTCCTGTAGAATGCACCAGCTTTGCTGAGTATTGTCCTCAGACCTTTAGCAGCGGAGGCCCTGGCATAGATATGGGCATTTGAGGCAGATGCTACCTTCAGCTGGCATGGCTGGCAAAGCTGCTATCTGAACACAGGAAGCAGAGGGACCCATCACCTGATAAGCAGGAGAGGACAGCAGTTATATGAGGAGTCAGGAGGGCCAGTCCATAAAACCTCTGGGGAGCCCAGGGTGGGGCTCCTACAGCGATGACAGAGCAGAGCCAAAGAAATACCCAGGGGAAGGAAGACTCTTTCATTGTTCATCGTAAGCTGGTGCCTAGAACACAGGTTAGACTTGCCCTCATTCAACCAGAAAAGTCCAGACCTTTGTCTTCCGGCTCCTGTACAGTGCCTGCTCCATAAAGCCCACTTAGCTTCACTAACCTCCAGCAGGTGTAGGAGAAACTAGGCTGGATGGCTGGAAGTTTCAATCCCAGAATGTTTTACAAGGCACAAAGCTGCTTGAAGTGAAATACAGGCCAAGGACTCCAAAGTAGGCCAGACCTGCTCTAACAAAAACAGGAGGCTGGGTGGTGGGGAGGAGAGAAAATTAAACTGAAAGGCTAAGAGTTGAATTCTGGACCTGGTTCATCTGCTCACTGGAGGGTGCTGGAGCCAAGGTCAACAGACTCCCCCTTCCCCCACGCTCCAGGCATGAATTTAGAGGGGCCACATACCCTCAAAATTTAAATATACAAGCTATTGCATTTATCATTTATCCAATTTTCAGAGAGGTGCCTGACCCCCAGAAGACCCAGAGCCACTGGGCTGGTCCATGGCCTAGCAGGGCTACAGTTTCCTTATCTGTAAAATTAAAGCACTTTAAATGTTAGTTACTAAAGTTTTAATAAAGATCTTTGTCTTTGGTGGGGTAAACCTCCTTGCAATTACATTTGACTGACAAGCCCTTTTTGCATGGCATGGCAAATGTCCATTTCAGCCCAGTGTACAAATTGCCAGGAAGTCCACTGATCCGTCAAGGACTCTCAACTCTCACCAGTCCCTGGAGACTTCTCTTGAACCACTCCAGTCAACCTCACTATCTGATAGTTCTTATTTTCTTCTGCAAACACACCAGGAAAAAAAAAAAAAAAAAAAGCAAAAAAAAAAGCTGTTCTTTAAAAGGCCAAGGAGACATCCTCAGAACATCCAAAAGTCTGGGACAGGGACTTCCCCACAAAGATCACTAGCCCAGGGGGTCTCCAGGAATAGGGTGGGGTTCATCTTACAGGGGTGGGCAGAGGGAACACAGACTTTACAGAAGGCAACAACTGAAAGAGAAGGAGGAGTGAGCCTGAATGCCTAGAAGACAAGTGAAGGCCTTGGAAGGTCCAGGTTCGCCTGTGAGAAGAGAGAGGAATAAGTCAGTGAATTCTGAGACTTGTGCAGAAACTGGGGACCAGGTACAGATCAGGACATGGGTGGGCTGGGGGAGGGGGAGTTGAGTGGAAGTCATACGAAGAAAAACAGGACAGAACCTGATTTATCGGGAGGCCCCTGGAAAGGTCAGTTGGCTGCATGTCAATGAGGAACTAGAGGAACTAGACTGAGATCCAGACACAGATGGAGACTGCTTCCCGTGGCCTAAGCCTGCTTCACACCTCCAAGCACAAGGGATGCCCACTAAGATGGGCATTCAAGGAAGAGAAAGGGTGTCTGTACTAGGACACCTCCCTCCCCCAAACCAGAGATTGTGGCATCGGCCTAGTATTTGACCACATAGGAGCAGCAGAGAGAGCCCCAGCCATTCTACTGCTGCCTGGGTTGCGAGCGCAATTATAGGAGAGCTGACATTGATGGGTTGCTGGGGGCTGACCACATGTAGAAGCCCTGCTGTCTCTCAGGGTCTCAGAATCAAATGGCACCCAAGGACGCAGCAAAGCCTTCCTATCAGCCAGAAGTTCCCATAGAAAACACTCCCTCACCACGTCCTGGGACCATGCCTTTGGGGCTGCCCCAGAATCCCCACTCCCACTTCATTTTCCAGGCAGGTACTTGGTTCCCTATATAAGAAGCATAAGTGCCACCTAAGGTGCTGCTAGGATAGCAAACATTACAAATGCCTCTTACCAGTTCATTAGGCAAGTCCCTTAAGGACTTCTTGGGAGAGGATTTGAGATACCTAAAATGTATGAAAATGGTTTTTCAAGTCTTCTGAACATTCAAACCTATCTAAATTCCAGCCCAGCATCTAGAAAAGAGGGGGTGGCTTCTCCATCCTCCCCACCTGTTTATCAGTCCCCTACCTGTGATGGTGACGGAGCCGTGAGTGTCCTGCTGCAGCACGGGGTTGTGCACCAGGCAGCTGTAGGTGCCATTAGCACCCAGCACCACTCTCAGAACACTGTGCACGTCAAACAAACCCTGTTCATTGGCCATCTGCGATGTGGTCACATTGCCCGCCAAAGGCACACCCTGCCCATCCTGCCAGAACACCTCGGCCTCAGGGTAGCCCTGGTAGCTGGAGCATGTGATGGTCACTATATCCCCAGGCTGCAGGTCCTTGTTGGGCTCCAGGGTCATGCTGGGCTTTGAATAGGGGGCTGGAGGGAGGCAAAGGGTAAAGGTCAAGATAAGGCAAGGACAGAGGGGACACAGTGGAGGAACAGGGTGCCTGGGGCTGTGAGTAACAGGGGTCAGCACGGGGCAGTGGATAAGGGAAGAGAGTTAGGGAAGTGAGAAGGGTGATTCAGGGGGAGGGTGCCCCCTTCTGGTGCTCACCTGCCACCTGCAGACTGACTGCAGCACTGCCAAAGTCTCGGATGCTCACGAAGCAGGTAAAGCTGCCCTCATCAGCCACACGAACATGCTGAAGCCTCAGGGATGCGTTGCCCTGAGCCAGTAGGTCAGGGAAGAGTGCAGTGCGGTTGGCATAGGCGCTGCCCTGATCCTGGCCCTGCGTGAAGCTGTGCACCAGCTGTTTGGTGTCTGTCAGCTGCCAGATGAGGTTGAGCTGCTCCAGGCTGAAACTGGGCTCCGGTGAGAAGGAGCAGCGCAGAGTAGCATCAGTGCCCAGCAGGGCCACCACAGGGTCTTCAGGGACCTGGACCTCTACTGCACCTGACAGCAAGGTTGGAGGAGCAGGGTAGTGAGGAGGGGTAGCAACGCACTATGTTACCACCCTCCAGCCTCCCACACCTCCTTCCCAATCAACCCCAAGCCCCATTCCACTTTCCCATTTTCTACCCACACCCAAAAGCAGATCGAGCCTCAGACTCCCAGACATAGAGTCTCCCTCATCTGACAGAAATCACAGCAGGTTGGCCTTGGTCTGACAAGGTCCATTCTGGGGGTCAGACTTGGGCTGCCCCTGGCCCTAGCAAACCCCTCCTCTTAGCTAGGACTCATTTCCCTCTCCTTTCCTTTATCCCTGCTGAGTGAGAGCTGAATGCTTCTCCATCCTTCCAGAAATCTCCAGGGCTCTGAGGAGATCTAGAGAGCAGAGAAGGTGTGTTACCATCACCCTCAGCCTTTACTACTACTGACCCTGCTTTTATCATTTCTTAAACAAACATGGTTAGGGCCTGTATCTCCAAGGCAGTGCCTGGGGGCATAGTCAGTGGGGCAAGGTAGTGAGGATGCGTGGAGACACTCTGGGCCACTCTAATCCCCTCTCCTTCAGGGTGAACCCCGAGCTTCATCTTACCTGAACTTTGAGGCCTGAGACCTAAAGTAAATTTACTGGCTATAATTCTCATTCAATCAATACAAATACAGTAAGCACCTACTTACTATTTGCCAAGTAATTAGGAATGCAAGAGAATAGGACCAAAGTCACATCTATACAGAGCTGACATTTTAATGGAAGAGATGAACACACTAGCACACAAATCCTTATTAGCATGTGATAAGGTCTAGACTTGGAAGAAAACATGCCAATGAATTAGAAAGTACAGTGGTAGCTTTTCAAACACCCGGCAGGTACAGCTATCTGTGCTGTTTTCATTTTCCCATGAATATATTTATAATAATAAAAGTGAAATATACTATTTAGACTGGACAGCCAAATGATCTTCCAGACATCCTTCTTGGAGAAGCCACAGCAGCGGAGGCCAAGGCAAAGGCAGTTAGGGGCAATTAGGCAGGCAGGCAGAGTGGTTAGAGGCAACCAGGCAGAGTGGTTAGGGTCAATCAGGCAGGCAGGTGAGTGGTTAAGGGCGATCAGGCAGGCAGGCAGAGTGGTTAGGGGCAATCACGAAGACAGGCAGGTGAGCATTAGGAGCCAGTGGTTCCAGATTGCGAGAGGGTGCAGGCTGGGCTGAGGTACCATCCCTCTTTTCTGTACAGATTCTGTGCACCAGGCATCTAGTATTATCTTTATAAATTGGAAAGGGGAGTCTAAAAAAGTATGCATTGTAGTGTTAATAGTGGTTTTCTCTGAATGAGAAAGGATCACAAGTGCTTTTTTCTTGTCTTAAATAAACATGATTAGCTTGTATAGAAGGAAAAAAAGTGCCCATACTTTTAAATATGGTAGTGAGACACATTCTTAGAGCTATTAAGCTGAGATTTAAAGGGAATGAAAAAGAGCCTGACACACTGGAGCCCCACTAAAGTAACTTGTTCTGTACAGTCAATCACTGAATAACAGTTCTGTACTCATAGCCAGTCCTCAGCCAGTCAGCCTAAGCATCAATTCCTCCCACTGACATGCCAATAGCAATCAGGGCTCAACTTCAGAGAAGGGCATACACCAGGGATATACCTGGAGCACCTGGCTAGAATGACCACAGAGAATGTGCCACTGGGTCCCACAGGACACCCACTACATAGACCATTCTACCAAAATCAGAAGGCAGAGCAGCTCTACCAAATAAATAGAAACCAACACAAGGAGCCAGCCAAAATAAGGATACAAAAAAAACAGTCCGAAATAAAATAACATACCAAAACTCTAGAAAAATAACTAAACACAATGGAGACAAGCAATCTACCAGGTGCAGAATTCAAAACACTGGTTATAAGGATGCTCAATGGTCTCAGTAATGATTTCAACAAAGAAATAAGAGACGTAAGAGTGAAGATAGAAAACATAAAGCAGTTAGAATGAAGAATTCATTAACTGAAATGAAGACTATATTAAAGGGAATTAACAGTGGAATAGAAGAAACAGGATCAATCAGCAATTTGGAAGATAAATTAGCAGAAAACACCCAATAAAAATAGCAAAAAGAAAAAAGAATTAAAAAATTAGGATAGTTTTAAGGGACTTCTGGGACAACATCAAATGTATCAACATCCATAGCATAGAGGTCCCAGAGGAAAAGAGAGGAAGCAAGAAAATAAGTTATTTGAAGAAACAATGACAGAAAAAAAATCTCTAACTGGAGAAGGAAATAGACAGACAAGACTAGGAAGCACAAAGAGTCCCAAACAAGATAAACCCAAAGAGGCCCATACCAAGACCCATCATAATTAAAATCCCAAAGGTTAAAGACAAAGAGAATCTTAAGAGCAGCAAGGAAAAAAAGCAGAGAGTTACCTACAATAGAACTTCTGTAAGACTGACAGCTGATTTCTCAATAGAAATTTTGCAGGCCTGAAGGAATTGGCACAAAATATTCAAAGTGGTAAAAAACAAGTTCCTAGAACCAAGATTACTCTACTCAGCAAAGCTATCATTTAGAATCAAAGGATAAAGAGCTTTCCAGACGAGAAAAGCTAACCAAGTTCATCACTACCAAACAAATATTACATGAAATATTAAAGGGCTTTCATGAAGGAAAATAAGAAAAGAAGATTAAAGTATGAATGATAAGCCCTAGCTGGTTTTTCTCAGTGATTAGAGCATCAACCTGACTGGTCACAGGTTCAATTCCAGTCAAGGGCATGTACCTTGGTTGCAGACTCCATCCTCAGTCTGAAATAGGATGACAAATTCTAAGCAAGGTTACAGGCAGAACTTCCTTTTTTTTTTTTTTTTTTAATTAAAGAGCCAGCCCTATATGCACTTAGTGGTTATCTGGATTCTGGCCTTGAAAAACAATGCTGTTCTATCCAATTAAAAAAAGTGCACCTGGCATGGTATTGAGATTGTGGGCATATCTGGTCTCTGGCCTGCAAGGTCAGACAGCTAAGTTTATTTTCATCATTCTTCAAACGGGCTAAAGCAAACTAGAAAGCAACATTTTATCTAGGAAGAACAGCAGAAAATTCCAAACAACAGTTTGTTGCAGAATGGGGGTTTTCCTTCACAGAACCTTTAAAAATAACTACCTGCCCCTAAAGCCTCACAGTCGTTTGGAGTCTTGCAGCTGCCCTGGCCAGATATTTCAATAAGTTCTTTGCCTGCTTTTTTAAATTAATTATCAGCCTCCGGTGGTCTTATTTTGAACCCAGGATTCGACTCCACAACAAGTCCCCATCAGGATGAGTGCAAGAGGCAAGCAATTGATGTGTCTCTCTCACATTGGTGTTTCTCCTCCTCCCTTCCACTCTCTCTAAAAACATCAATGAAAAAAATGTCCTTAGGTAAAGATTAATAACAAAAAGTGTGAATAATAATATGGCAATAACTACATATCTGTCAACAATTACTTTAAACATAAAATGTATTAAATGCTTAAATGAAAAGACATAGGGTGGCTGAATAGATAAGAAAACAAGACCCTTGCCCTGGCTGGTGTGCTCAGTGGTTAGAACATTGGCCCATGTCCCAAATGTTTGCAGCTTTGATCTCCATTCCCAGTCAGGGCACATGTCTCTCTCACATCGATGTTTCTCTCTCTCCTCTTCCCTCCCTCAGCCCTACCCTCTCTAAAATTCAATGGAAAAAATATCCTCAGGTGACGATTAACACACCCAAAAAAGAAAAAGAAAAAAAAAAAGATCTTTATATATCCTGCTTACAAGAAACTTACTTCAGATCAAAAGACACACAAACACACTGAAAGTAAAAAGATGAAAAATGTATTTCATGAAAATAGAATTTAAATTAAAAAGCTGGGGTAGCGATACTTATACCAGACAAAATAGACTTTTAAAACAAAGGCTATAACAAAAGACAAAGAAGGACCCAGCAATTCCACTTTTGGGTATTATCTGAAGAGATCAAAAACACTAATTAAAAAAGACATGTACCCCTATGTTCATTGCACCATTATTAACAACTAGGGGGCCAAGGAATTTGTACACCTTGAAAGGGACTATGGGCCTCCAGGCTGCAGTGGGCACAGGGGCGGGTCTTGGCCCATCCTGCACACCCCCTGCCTGACCCCTCCTGCTGTGGCCCTGGTCCCGTCTGCTAGTAGCCCCACTCCTACTGCCGACCCCATGTGCTGAGGGCGCAGAGCTATTGGGGCTGGCACCAGCAGTAGGTGCAAGTGGTGGCTGCTGCCTCAATCACACCTCAGGAGCAGGAGGAGATGGAGAAGCCCTCATGGGGCCATCAGGACCAGCAGCCACCACTTGCATCTGCTGACAGTGCCCAGTGATCAGGATTGGTGCCAGGCGCGGGCTGCAGGCACAAGTGGGGCCGGCACCAACAGTGGGTGTGAGTGGCGGTTCCAACACCAGCAGTGAGTGCGAGTGGTGCTGTTGCTGACGGCGGGTACAAGAGGCAGCTTCAGTACTGGCAGCAGGTGCAAGCAGGGCCAGTGCCAGCAGCAGGTGCGAGCTTTGGGCAGGACCACAGCAAGCAGGAGCAAAGAATTTTTAGTAACCAGCAGAGGCTCACCCTGATGACAGCGACTGGCGCCCCGCTTTAGTCTAGCGTCCCATCATCCCGCCGCCCACCATGTTCTGCTCTCTGCCACCTGCTGCCAAAGCCCCCTGGTGGTCACGCACATCATAGCGCTGGTTATTTGGTTCAGTTGTTTTCACTGTTCAGTCTAATTGTATATTAGCTTTTTTTTTTTAATATATATTTTATTGATTTTGTACAGAGAGGAAGGGAGAGAGACAGTTAGAAACATCGATGAGAGAAAGTCATCGATCAGCTGCCTCCTGCACATCCCCCACCGGGGATATGCCCGCAACCAAGGCACATGCCCGTGACCGGAATCGAACCCAGGACCCCTCAGTCCCCAAGCCGACGCTCTATCCATTGAGCCAAACCAATC